TGGGAGGGTTGCACCTCCGGCAACAAGGAACGCGACAGACCATCTGCATTCAAGTGCTGCCGACCCGGCCGGTGAACAGTAGTGAAGGTGTACTCAGCGAGTTGCTCCACCCATCGAGCTTTTCGACCGCGTGGTTCCTTCACGGACATCAGTGCGGTGAGGGCAGTGTTGTCTGTGCGAGCAATAAAATTCCGGCCAAGCAAATAGTGCCGGAACTGATTCGCGAAATGGACAAGGGCAAGCGTTTCCCGGTCTGAGGCATCATAATTCCTCTCTGCCTTCGTCAAGACCCGGCTGCCGAACGCAATGGGGCGTTCCTCGCCATCTTGCATTTGGCTGAGGACAGCTCCAATGGCCACCTTGCTAGCGTCAGTGTCCAAAATAAAGCTGCCAGACGAAACAGAAAAGTCGGGATACGCCAACACGGGGGCTGTTGTCAGTGACCGTTTCAGAGAGGTGAATGCCGCATCACAACTCTTTGTCCACATAAAGCTGGCATTCTTCCCTGATAGAGCAGTCAGGGGTGCAGAGCGCTGAGCAAAGCCACGGATGAACCGACGGTAGTACCCAGCGTAACCCAGAAACACACGTACATCTCTCACCGACTTCGGTACAGCCCACTGCTCGATAGCTTCAACTTTGGCCGGATCCGGAGCCAATCCGTCAGCCGAAACCTGATGACCGAGGAAGAGCACTTTCCGTTGGAAGAACGAACATTTCTTCAAGTTGAACATCAGTCCAGCAGCACGAACGCGGTCAAACACCGACTTGAGGATCTGGAGCTGTCCAGGCAAGGTAGAACTGGCATTCAGCACATCGTCGAAGAAAACGCGACAGAATGGCTGGGTTGGCACATTGCATAAGCCATGAAGCACCGCTTCCATCACACGCTGGAAAGTTGCCGGACCATTTCGACATCCCATTGGCATCACGGAGAACTCGAACAAACCCAACGGTGTGGTAAAGGCAGTCTTGGCCTTATCTTCCTCGTCCATAGCGATCTGCCAATAACCTGAAGCTAAATCCAGGCAAGTGAACCAGGAACAGCCGGAGAGTGAGTCTAGCATGTCATCAACTCGTGGGATGGGGTACGCATCTGGCTCCGTAACACTGTTCAACTTGCGGTAGTCGATACACAATCGAAGAGATCCGTCCTTCTTTGGAACGAGAACTATGGGTGACGCCCAGGGACTAATAGACTCTGTGATTATACCACGGGCCAACAGATCATCCAGCAAAGCTTGTAAAGCCTGCCGGCGGTGGTAGGGTACACGACGGCTTTGTCTCACCAGTACTAATACGATGTGGGAAAACATCACAATGACCAAAATCACCCTCCTGCAAGATAAACAAGTCATGATTCTCCCGGAGAATCTCTGTAAGTGTGCTCTTCTCAGGTACTGACAGATGACTCTGAGAGTCAACATATGTACGGATTACCTCGGCACGTTCAGGGGATAGCACAAGCGGTGGCGTATCCGCAACGGACGAAACAGTAGGATCATTATCCTCGACAATGAAGTCCTCGGGTACAGGAGATAACTCGGCAATGTTAACATCTTTAGCAAGAAGCACTGGGTGGTCAGAGTGATTTTCCAACACAACTACCACACGGGACCTGTCAGGTCCAACCGTAACCACACCGGGAGTCACAGACACGTCTGGAAACTTTGTCAAGAATGAGTCAAGTGGATCAGCAACACAGTCCACAGTTACAGGTGCCTCTTGCACAGACATGCACGGCACCAACACTACATGGCCGGCAGGCAGAGTTAATGCACGACCAACAGTGACACGAGAAGAGTACGTGCTCAGGTCTTCCTGAGAATTACTATCACTAACACAAGAGTCAGATACTGGCGCCGGGTCCTCCGCAACGGCCGGACTAGGTTCCGATGGACCAAAACTGGTAGCTTTCACTCCTAACGGGACTGGCAGGTCTTTAAAAGTTAAGGTGCCTTGAGCAATGTTCAGTAATGCTCCATGGTCAAACAAGAAATCAGATCCCAAGATCATATCACGGCGGATATCAGGGGACACTACAAATGCCTGCAAAAATGAGCACCCTCCAATGCAGCATTCGATATCTACAGCACCCAGAACCCGAAGTCCCTCACCATTCACCGCACACAAACGGGGGGCAGCTTGCAAAGGCACATCACCATACGTGGACAATAATGTTTGTTCATGCAACAAAGAAACACATGAACCAGAATCAATTAGTGCAGTTACGCTCTTGCCTTCAACATTGAGGTCTAGGGTCGGGACGACAGATGATACAGCTTCGATTCGCGCCTCATCTGATGGCTCCTCGTGGACGACTGGGAGTTGTCCCACACCACCAGTCGTACTCAGTTTCCCGAGCGCCAAGGGTTGTGTGGGCAATCAACAGCAAAGTGGCCAGGTTGTCCACACCCAAAACAAATCGGCGGTTCATCGCGACCACCACGACCATACGCCCGTCCCCGTCCACGACCACGTCCACTGACACGAGACTGGCCATCGGGACTTGCTCCTGCAGTAACTGGTGTTTGCGGAGCGACAATTATTTCTAAACGGCCGAGTCTCTTTTCAAGATCTGACATTCTTGAATCAAACTTCTCAAGCACTTGGGCCAGTCGATCACGCTCTCCAGCGTCGTACGCACTTGCCTTGGCAACAGAAGCACGGGGTACAGCTGGTGATGGTCCAGGTGGCTGGCTGCGTAACGGCAACGCGGCGCAGGCCGAGCCATCGTAGTCACCAGTTACATGTACAGCCTGAGTGAAGTGAGACTCTACAGGCATCCGGCTCTGTTCCCTGGCGTAGATTGCCGAGACCTCAATTGCTTTTTGGACCGCCAATTCAATGCTTGCTGGTTGTGGCGACGACAGAGCCAGGCGCATATCTTTTGTTGGCTGACCATCGATGAAAGTCTGCAGCAGCATCGATTCTAGTAACGGGCCCTGTTGGCCTGGATATGCTTTGGCAGCAAGGCGGCGGAGCTCCATGGCATATGCATACTGCGTTTCATGGGCGAGTTTCAGGCGCTGGCGTAAAGCCGCTTCGTGCATTTGGGCCTGCTGTGGTGGCTCCAGGCGACTGCGGAGCGCTTCAACGGCGTCATGAAACGAAACGTCTGCATCAGATAGGAGAATGGTCTCCAGCAGTTCATGGGACGTGCCTACGAGTCTTGTGGGTAATAACAATAGTTTTTGTTCCTCACTGTACCCGTTCAGGTGGCATGCATCGTTAAAATGTTTGAGGTAGGCCGAAAAATCTTCATTTCCAGCACGACCAAATACTTCGGGTAACAGGATTGGTCTCGGTAAGGCTGAGGCACTGGCAGGCTTGTCATACATCTCGAATGACAATGGACTAGGTGACCGTGTCTGCTTTTTCGACTTGCCCATCTTGCGTTCGAGATCATCAAGTTCAAAATTTAAACAAAATTTAAAATTAAAAAAAATTCTACAAAAAAAACCCTGCAATGCAAACGTCACTCGCGCGATCGCGGCCTACCCGCCGGCGCGGCCCGTACCGTGAATCCGTGATGTGTCAAGCTACGTAGTGCGTAGGTCTACCTAGCTAGCTAGCTACACAAGTAGTAAGTACTGCATGTACAATCATGGAGTTACGTCATATGCAGGTGCATGCATGCACAATCTAGTACAGTAGTACTACAACAAGTAGTGAAGTACAAGACCAAGGCCAGGGCAGCTATAAGTATGCACGCACACCCACGTCCACGTAGAACTATGTGCAAAAATAATTGTAGTGAAAATTCTAGCCCTTTTTACACCAAACAAAACTGTTACTCATGCACAGCGAACGATCAGTCAAGAAGTAAAGAATGGAAAACGAGACGAAGGATAGAATGACCAATACTAGTAAATTAGAACTTAGTCTGTGGGCTGGTCTCCCGAGTAGCTGGAACTGGTCTCAGACTCTCTGGAACTTGTCGACTCTGCAACTTGTCTCTCCTGCGGAGGCGTCTTCCCAGCCGAGGACAAAACCGACGACTATTTTTACGCTGCCACCATTGTAACTCGTATACTCTCAGCACTCAAAGCACATACTTGTTGTTACGTAAGTAGTTATCAATATTCGTTCATTGTCTCACACAAGGAGAAGAAGAAGACAAGGCAGTACGAGTATGCGCACAGCCTATCCATGCATTCCTACGGTGTACTATTTATGCGTATACAAATTACGTGTAGTTTCCGCGATCGAAACTCTGTCTCAGTTGAATTATTTTAGTAGTGTATTTGTTCGCACTCGTGGACGAGTGACTAATCGTAATGGAACAATCACAGGACGTTACCGGATTTGACCTGTCCTCCGCGACCGAGCGACAGCAGGAATCTCAAATGGGTTGTAATGAATAGCTATGCATGACTGTAGATGCCACTCTGCACTGTTACTACTAGTATTCTGTACTCGCATAGTAATCTAGCCATGATGTCTTTGTTACGTAGATCTATGCGGTTGCGCATGTAGCCAAGTTCCCCGATGTGTTGTGTAGCGGTTTGCACATGCATATGTAGCATGCTATCCCGTGTGTTGCGGCGGCTGGCACAAGTACGACTGCAGCTCAGTTTGTTGTGTTGTTCCTTCTTCTAGTTAGTTCGAGTTTGCGTTGCTTGTGTCCATTTTGCTAATCTCTCCTTTTCCAATATCATGTATAAACTGTACTACTGAGAGTTGTTGTAGGGTGAGAGTAGCCGTGCGTCGGGGGACGAGGGTTCCACAACATCTGGTGCCGAAACCCGGGAAGTTTGGAGTCTCTGAACGTGGTTTATTCTCTTAATTTGTGGAAAGACCCTGTCGAAGGCCGACTAAGCTATGTCTCTGAAGGTGGACAGCTTCCTGAGGACGTTCAAGGGAAGCGGTGAGGACTTCGAACGGTTTTGGGAGAAATTTGAAGTACTGGCTGAGATTCAGACGTGGAATGATGAAGCCAAACGCATGAAGAATTTTCCATTGTTTTGGAGGAAAACGCGTTTCTTGTGTTGTCAAGGATGGATGCAGCCGACAGGAAGAAACAAGACAAAGTTCTGGCTAAACTGAGACAGTCGTTCTGCATGACCAAGGCGCAAGCATACAGCGCATTTACGAAGAGGAAGCTCCGGATCGACGAGTCTCCTGACGCCTACGTAGCTGACCTACAGAGGCTGTACACTTTGGCGGGTCATGCTGCTGATGATGACAAGGACGCACTGCTGATAGAGCAGATGATCGCTGGTCTGTCATCCCAGTACGCCCGCGAGTTGAGGTTCACCATGGCAGGCAAGGAGCTGTCCTTGTCAGGATGTCTAGATGTAGTCCGTGCTCTGCGCAGCGCCAATGCTGATGATGCCTGTGGCAGGAGCGAGGTAGTGGCAGTTACTGCACCAGCCCAGGCTGGTCAACAGACTGCATCTTCTGACGCCTGCTACCTGTGTGGCGAAGTAGGTCACATAAAGAGGTTTTGCCCCAAACGGCAGAGCTGGGGCCGTGGCCGTGGATTCGGTGGTGGCCCTACGGCCACCACCGAATCCACGGCCACGGCCGGTGGACTCGGTGGTGGTCGTGGCGGTGGATTCGGTGGTGGTCGCGGCGGCACTTGGAACCGGGATTCCCGCCCGAGGGAGACACTGTCTCAGTGCTATTTCTGTGACGGCGTTGGGCACCTAAAGCGAGACTGCCCTGAGCGTAACACCTGGCAAGAGAGCAAGTCAGGAACTGCAGCTTCGGCTGTTGGAAATGCAGCTCCAGTGCGCCCGACGATGTCCGAGGATGCAACGTGCCTGTGCTCTGTAGCTGAAGCAACGCGTGCATCGCTACCGCGCCTATTCCTAGATCTGCGGTCCAGCGCTAGCGTACGTAACGGCTGGGCGCGAGCTCGGTCCGCCATCGACACGTGCGCAAGGTACACTATGGTAACTGCATCGTTCCTCCGAGCCTATGACATCGATTATGACCCCGGAAAGCCGAGATCCATAGTAGCCGTAGACGGCAAGCCGGTTAAAATCCTCGGTGAGACGGACCTTCAGCTCCAGCGAATGGACGGACCGGTGTCTCTCCCACGGGTGCACGTAAAAGCATGCGCCGTCGGATCGCTAGCGGCGGTCGGTGCGGACATCTTGCTCGGTGCAGATGTCATCGCTGGTGTCGGAGGTGTCAGCATCGGATATGGCAATGACGGGGAGATCGACTCGGCTAATTTCGGACCGGGGATTCCCAGCGTCAGTGCAACGGCTGCGCCGGCAAGTGACCACCCCCTCCGCCATGTGACTGTGACCAGGGATGCCAAAGATGTCACCCTGGCTGCGGACGAAGGACAGGTGCACTGGGACGATGAACTGAAGAAGTGGACCCTGCAGTGGCGTTGGAAGGATGGCCAGGAGCCGTCGCATCCGATCGGATCAGGCATTGGCCAGTATGCACGCACCAACCTGTCCGCTGAACAGGAGACCCAGTTCTGCGACGAAGTGGATTCCTGGGTGGAAAAAGGCTGGCTAGTGGAGCACGACGAGGCCACCCACGGATCGCCTACAGCTGTTATCCCCCTACTGGCGAAGAGTCAGGCCCATAAATCTACCACTCCCGTTCGCCCCTGCCTGGACTACCGTGGCCTCAACAACCTGATTAAGTCCAACCCAGGCATGGATGCTCCTGCTTGTGCCGAGAAGATACGGAAGTGGGGGCAAGTCGGAGGCCAGTATGAGCTAGTCGATGTGCGCAAGGCCTACCTACAGGTGCATGTGGACCCGGCTCTTCTACGATACCAAGTGGTCGTGTGGCGCGGCAAATTGTACGTAATGACCGGGATGGGCTTTGGGCTATCCATTGCCCCAAAGTTCATGGACGTGATCGTACGATGGGTGACACAACCGTGGCCGGAAGCCGAAAACTACGTCGATGACGTCCTGACGCCGGCGGATGAGCGTGAAGATGTTGTTGCGGAATTCGCACGATACTCGCTGCCAACCAAGCCAGCGGAGCCGCTGTCGTCCGCTCGAGTCCTAGGCCTGCAGTTGTCGACGCCTGTGGAAGGTGACGCCACATACTGGTCGCGACGCGACGGCGTGGATCTGGCATTTCAGCGCCCGTCGACGAAGCGTGCCATTTTCCAGTGGACAGGCCGCTTAACGAGCCACTACCCGGTAGGCAGCTGGCTGCGACCTGCCTGCTCGTACCTGAAGCGGATGGCCAGTGTGGCTGCTACTTGGGATGAGCCAGTGCCGGAAAGGGTCGTGCAGTATGCAGAGGAAGTTGCCGACCGACTACAGCAAGAGGACCCGGTACGAGGGAATTGGCACGTGACGTCGAAGTCGGAAGGCAATTGGGCCGTCTTCTGCGACGCGTCTGATATAGCAACTGGCGTTGTGTTGCAGCACAATGGCAACACCATCGAGGACGGGACGTGGCTGCGAGATGCCGAGGACATCAACGTCGCCGAGCTTGACGCGTGCATTCATGGGCTCTCTCTCGCTGCCGAGTGGGGCCTGAGTTCGATACGGCTCGTCACGGATTCCAAGACGGTGTTTGCTTGGCTTCAGCAGGTCGCTGACAACGTGCGTCGCGTGAGACTCGGGGTCTTCACAAGGTATGGATCGAGAGACGCTTGCAAGTGGTAGCCGACCTCCTGAAGACTGCCCGGCTCAGCGTGTCCGTAGAATGGGTGCCAACCGACCGGTAGGTATTGGTGACGTCACTTGCGATGGCCGGACAGAGGTGACCGATGTTGTGCAAGCACACACTGCGGTTCAGCCTGTTGAACACATGGCTCGCGTCTGCTAGGAGGACTGCTTCGGTCTCTTCCTCATTCCATAGGTGCCCCATTGCGTGGATTGCTGCTTCCACACCACACTCTTGGCCGCCACACAGCTGAAGCGACCCGACCGCCTGTAGGATCTGCTCTCCGATTATGGTGAGGATGGCTTTGTCTACTATCCTTCCGAGGACTTCACATATGCCGATTGGGGGCACCCCGGGCTTCTTATCCAGAGGCACCAAGCGGCATGCCGTGAATGACTGAAGGGAAATTGGGTTAATGATTCCGGTGGCGATGCGCTTGGCGCAGGCGGCGATGCTATCACATAGCTGGTCGGAGGAGGCACTGAACAAGGTGCACGAGCGTTTTCAGCTGGTAGAGTCCATGGTGGATGGGCCCGCTGCTCCATTTGTCCTTAGCAACGATTGCCGAATGATGCAAGTTCTCTTATCTGTAAGGCATACTGACCTCTTTTGGATCAAACGTGAATAGTTGGTCGTCTTGCCGCCGCAGACCCAGCGCTTGCAGTGTGAGGCATGTCTCTCACCATCTGCAGAACCTCCTTGGTTCCCTCCGTCTCTGTGAGGAGGTGCACAAATACGGATGTTAGTCATTGTCCCAGGCACGGAATGTGTCTCTCATTCAAGACACTTACCATCGATATGCAGGCTCCTACACCTCTTGTTGAAATTGAACTTGCCGTCCAGGTAGTACCGGCAAACTCTCTTGACAAGTTTCGACTCCATTTTCGAAGTGAACGGTAACGAAATCAACGGCAATGCAAGTGAAGGAACAGCACTTCAAAGCAAAGAAACTCGTATTTATTCCCTCTGAGTTGCGTTGTTAGCGTTTCAACTTACAAATTTACTATAAACTCAACTCTATTTGTATAACCGTATCCACTGGCTTAATGTACTGTTGAATTCGAAACAGGACGACTGATGACATATCCAGACATTACAACGGGAACAGGTAGGTTGGGACGACATTTATTATAGACGACGAGACAAGAGACCAAGACGAACGAAACGACTACATGGTGATTATTGACGAGTGAGAAAAGAGAGAGAGAGATCAAGTCTGAACGGCAAGATAAAGGGCCTGGGTAGCTATGGCAAATATGGTCGCGCAAGTAGCTACCCAGGCCAACGGAACAAAAGGAGACAAAAGGTGAGTACGAAAGTGCATGCAGGCCAGCTAGAAACGGTACGGGAGGAGGTACCTAACATACCACCCCTCCATGAAAAAAAATCCCGCGTCCTCGCGGAGAGAGAAAAAAAAGAGAGAAAAAGATTTTAAAAAATGACTGGAGAAAAAACACACAAACACACACATACACACACATATTGCACGCGCGCACGGATCTCACGAAAGTGTTTACTAAAAATGTACTACAGCTCATTCCTGTACTACTTACAGTGTGTAATAACTATTGGAGTTTGACGAGGAACGTGAATTACTAGTGTTTTGCACGGCTAATACAGCCTAGTTACACTTTTGCTAAACATCCAAAAATTAGAGCGTGGCTCACCATGATCGGACCCCTAACTTGGTAATGTTTTACGAACACACGCGCGCGCGCACACACTACAAAAAATTTCAGGAAAATATATTTGACGAAGAAGCATACAAAAAGAGAAAGAGAGAAAGGTAGCTGACCTGCATGGCTTGAACGAGATGAGGTGGACATAGACGAGACGAGGTTGGCGTAGGAGAGACGAGGTTGATAGAGACGAGACGAGTTTGGCGTAGGAGAGACAAGACTGACATGGACGAGACGAGGTTGACATAGACGAGACGAATGGCGGTTGAGGACGGCTGGGCATGGGATGATCTCAGGGTCGTGGGTCGATCAATAATCGGGCGCCAATGTTGAATTCGAAACAGGACGACTGATGACATATCCAGACATTACAACGGGAACAGGTAGGTTGGGACGACATTTATTATAGACGACGAGACAAGAGACCAAGACGAACGAAACGACTACATGGTGATTATTGACGAGTGAGAAAAGAGAGAGAGAGATCAAGTCTGAACGGCACGATAAAGGGCCTGGGTAGCTATGGCAAATATGGTCGCGCAAGTAGGTACCCAGGCCAACGAACAAAAGGAGACAAAAGGTGAGTACGAAAGTGCATGCAGGCCAGCTAGAAAAGGTACGGGAGGAGGTACCTAACAGTACCAATAACTTTGACTTTTTCGTATCATTGAAAATATACTAGATATCTCTTCAGCACAAGAAGAGTGTCTGGGAAATTCATTCTACCGCTCTAGAATTCCCAGAGCCATCCTATAGTATTATTCCTACGGACTGTGACATAAATGTTTCGTAGTTTATCGGGGGGATGTGTACAGAACCAGATATTCTTCCGTTAAGAGTCAATAAGACGGTACCTTTTCTAATTTTCCGCAAACTCCAGCGCAGCCACTTACACATTAATTTATGAAACTCCAAAAAATGGTCTATTCAATGCAAAGTGTAGTTTGCTAAAGACGGTGCCTTATCAAATTAGAAGACCAATTTCTTTTGCATCTTGTTACTAAGCAACTGGCACTGCATGCTGACACATTAGTGACCGCTCGTAGGTTTAAAATGGTATCGCGATTTTATAGGCTTTCGAGCCGGCGACTATCCACATAAACGAAGAGCAAAACAGCCGAGAACTGTTTGTAACACGAAAAGAGATCACCAAACCTGTCAGGATTGGTGATTTTGGTGAACGTACCATCAATGTCCCCAGCACAGTATGGAAGGCCAGACAGTTCTTCGAATCGTAGCATGGTTCTGGTGAGCTGTTTTCCCACAAGAAACATGAAGCTGTCCCTGGACACTGCTTTCACAAGGTTGATAAAACCTTCGTGGGCGATTTCAGTACCTTGGCCAAGGCGAACCAGAGCACCGATCTCTGCTTACATTTCACAAGGACCGGTATAGTAAAGCACCATAGACAATCGCTTTGCTGGTGGGATCGTACGCCGCATTTTGGTCTCCTGCTATCCGATGTTGGTACCGTTGCAGAATGAAAACAAATCTGGCAAGATACATGCGGAACTGGATTCGTCAGGACGCTTCCCACCATACACGTTAAGATTTCTCGACAGCTTCTCAGGTCCCCCACACTTCCTTCTCCCAGCAGCCACTGCTAATCTTGTATTTATTCTCCTTGTGAGCTGTACACATCTGACTGCACATTGTATGCCTGGGACAATCCACCATAGAACATTCGGGCTGCGACTGACCTCATGGAGTGGCTGACAACAGAGGTTGGGCCCGCCGTACTATATCCTCCAAACATGTCCATGGGCATGCCATGCAGAACGCTTTTCTCATTTTTCTTCTTCTTCGGATTCCTCGCAAATTTAACTTCAGCCTCGGCGTCTCGCGTGAGTGACTGAACAACAAATACAACATGAAGCGAACAACTACAACTACTGCATCAGCATGAGCAGCTAGTTGCTCGGACAACTATGGCTTCAAGAATAGTCCAATCAGTCGTACGTTGACATGCGATGAAGAACACTACCCGCACACTAAAAATTGAAACATTCTCTTGAAAACTAAAGCAAAGGAGATGAAACCCCGCCAGCGAGTTTCCATGGTTTCATGAGGGTCCGCGTGTTTTACCCAGCCTTTCGCATACACCGTGTGGACACATGCGGGATATAAGCAGTTTTGTACTGCAATCTGTTATAAGCAGTTTATATCTCGTGAGAACCGCCCCTAATGCAAGTGGGATAATGCATGTAACATTGTTCTAAAATAGCTAGTGCATGCCAGGGAGGGTCTTATGGCTTGTTTCTGCCCTTCAGCCTACGGCCCTCAGGCTAACCTGTGGGGCACCAACTAGCCATTAGGCCCTCCCTGTCATGAACAAACGTATAACCATAGCTACGGGAAATCAATTACTTAACGACTTAATGAACTTGCCGATCATTCAGTGTACCATGTCCGTGATTATGCACAATTCACACAATAGCAGTTTTGTTTCATAAGAATATCATTTTTTATTCTGGTTGCGTTGCACGCTGGAGATGAGGCCGTATCTGTCGTTTCAGCTCATTCGTTCTGATCTTCTTGGATATCCATGGCCTCCAGCAGGTTCTGTGGAAAAAAATGGAAACGGTCAGTACACTATCTGAGCCAAACAAATACCAACGAAAGTTTCTTACATACGCCATGTACTTCTCTGACTACATTTAGTTTCCGTAGTTGGATCCACTTGTTTCATTTGGTTTTGCTCGCTCTCCGCGCTGAGCCTAGCCTTTCTGCCATGATCTGCGCTCGGCTTGGGTTTGGATATACTTATGCTCGCTGCGTTTGCTGCACGAGTTCAGTTCGAGTGCAGCAGTTCGAGTGCAGTTAGTTGTTGCGCAGTTCGTGCTCTTTTTTCTCTTCTTGGTCTTCACTACTTGGTCCGAGTGAGCTCTCAAGATGTAGTCTGGTTGTGACTTAGTGTGTGTGTGTGTTCGACGTTGTATTGTCCGTCTGTCTAGGTTAGTCTTGTAGTTAGATGCAGTGCTACTTCGGTTGGCTTTGCAGGCGTGCCCGAGGAACACGCCCTTGTTGTGACAGATGAAGCGAGTTGAATATCATTATTTCAGAATTGCCCGAAAGGTTGAAAATGGAAAATGGAACGAGAGAATTGTATATATGGTGTTCAGGAACCTTGCCCAATATGACCAGAAAGACATCTTACCTCGATCCCGCAGACTGGTGGTGCTACAGGGAGTGCCATCTCCTGTGTCGGAACGACGTCTTGCAGCACGGAAGCTGGTGGCGATGGCGTTGACGTTGCTTTGCCCAAGTGACTTCTCCTTTTCAAAGAAGCTTTCCGTGCAACGGAACGCCGCCGATTCGCC